AGGCTGCCCAGGCAGTCCCAGACTCCAGGTGGCTGCATTCATTGTACAGAGGGGGGGCAAGGAACAGGGGAGCCAAAGGAGGCTGCCACCATCAACCCAGAAAGCCCAAGACGGCTCTGTCCACTCCCTGACTTCCTCGTCCTGAGTCTCACTATCCATCCTCAGAGCAGGGTGGTCACCACAACCTGTGAGTCCCACCCAGAGACTTGCTTCCCTGTGTAACAATTAACGGCATCAGTGTTCTAACCTCTGGATGCCCTCTATGCCTAAAGCATCCCTTCTAAAGGTGGCGGCATCCTAGGAGATAAGGCCTGTGTGCTATGCTTGGTCTCCTGGGAGCCTTCTGCCTTTTCCCATCTGAAGGACCATTTCCTCTGGCTCTGATTTCCAGGACCATCTCTCCAGGCTGCCCGTGGCGGTCTCTCCCCGTCTCATTGCCCGTCCCTGTTCCAGCATGTCAGAGGCATACACGAAGGCCCAGGCATCGCTGCCATTTAAAGACAAGCAGGGAGCACGGCACACAGTGGGCGCTCAATACAGCTTGCCCGTCCAGTGACCGAGTGGCGAATGCGCGGATGGATGAATAAGTTAATGGGAACACGTGCGGAATCAACTGGGGGGGAAGGCCTTCATCGGGCGCACAGCTGGGCGACGGGCGATTTTTCATTTATGCTTCGGGATCCGCTCGAAATTCAAATTCTCATTACAGCGCGGCACAGAACACAAGCGGCACTTTGAACGACGACCCACAGAATGGGACGGCGGGGAAACGTGATCACGTCCTTCCTATTGATTAGGACCCTGCAAAGGGGAATGAAAAGATGGGCTTCAAACCCTTTGACTGTGAAAGGCGAAGAGGAAGGCAGCCCTGCGCGGCCTGCTGAAGCCGGCCCTTTCAGTCACGCCACCGCCACCACCAAGACATGTCTGCTGCCCACCACATGGCGTGTTGCCGTGCCAACATACATTCTGAGTCACCCAAGCAGATTTAATGTCATCGCCACGAAGACTTTCTCTTTGCCTTTTCTTGTGAGATTGTTAAAAGGAAGATTCTGACCTACCTAGGAAATTATTTTAATCAGTTTCGTTCCGGAAATAACTATGGGAATTCAGATGTTTCCATTCTGCTGCTTCTGGAGATGGCAACAAATGGCTAATGAAGCTTCTGCTTTCCCCCCAGCCCGCGGGTGAGACGCTGTGATTGGCAGCCGTTCCAAATCCCACATGGCAGGGCCAGAGTGCATAAGCATATGAAAAGCTCGCAGAAATGAAGCTTGTGAAAATGAGAAAAAGCCCCGAAATCGGGCCTCGCTCCTCATATTCCACACAGATAGCCATATCCTCCTTCATTCAGCGTCCTGTCCTGCGGCCACGACTCTCAGGGCCCGAGAAGCATGGCCCTGGGAACACAGCAGCGTCATGTGCTGGTGCTGCAGCCGTAGCCAGGTGGGCAAGACCCGCTCCGAGCAGGGGCCAAGCCAGGGCATGAGGTGCACAGAGGAACGCGCCATCTCAACGCTGACAGGCGACCCAGCCAAAGAGCACGCGAGGGAAGCACCCGAGGAGCAGAGAAGGGAACATCCCAACACGGCTTGACCGGTTTCTAAGAACATCTGGGTGGCCCTGTGCCGGTTTGGAGCACAACATTCATCGCTTTACCTGTTCATTCAACTACATCGATTGGCAGGCGTGTGGTCTCGATCTCTGCAATCACCTCCGATGAAGGTGAAGAAGTGATTCTGTGGGCAAGGTTCAGGGGAATGTTGCCAACACCACCGTGCTAGCAAGAAGCTTCCTCCCTGGCCTGGTGCCGTCCCGTCGGCCGCTCTGTCCACTATCCCTGTTCTTTCTGGGGCCTCTTAAACTAAATATTTTCAATATTAAAATGAAATTTGAAACCTCCCAAATGCACTTAAAAGATTGACTAATGCTTAATGTGTGTGTGTGTTTCCCATGAGCACATCTTTTATATAAACCCTAATGCACTGAATTCATTTCATCGAAGTCCACTTGGCCACAATGAGAACCCTGGCCTGAGTCCCACACACGTGTCTCCCTTGCCTGTAGCTGGAGTCTTGGGCCAGGCTCTCCACCCCAGTTCTATGGATGTCTGAGGTCTGGTATTCTGCGTCATGGGGGTGCTCCTGAGCACCTGAGTTTGAAACAGCACCCCTGGCCTCAACCCCTGAGGGCCAGTCGCATGCCCTGCCCAAGTTGTGACAGTCAAAATATCTGCAGACACTGCCACGTGTCTCCTGGAGGGCAAAGTCACAGTTTGAGGTAGACGGGCCTCACCTTTTTGGTCACTGCCCACAGGCGGACACTCCCCCCTCCCTGTGGCTCTGGAATGCATTGTTTTGAGGAAAAATGCAGACTGTGCCCAGAGAATGCAGATGGACCATGCGGCCCCTGAGCACGGATGGTGTATGCCCCGGGCACTGTGACAAACCCTTTGCAGCAACTGTCACTTGGTCAGTACAACAACCCTATGAACAAGACCATCTTCACCTGACTCCAGAAGCAAGGAAACTCAGGTCTAGCAAAATAAAACCTTCCGTGTCCCCCAGGACAGTAGGCGGTGATGACTGTGGGCTGCACCTCTGGCTGCCTATGACAGAGTCCCAGGCCTTACAGAAGGTGGACCTCAACTGTAGAGCCCAGGCCCTGGTCAGACTGTCCCAGACATGACCATGGGGATCGTTTGGTGTGTGTGTGTGTTAGCTATGTGGGCTGTAGCAGGTGCCGTGTCTGCATGTGCTCGTGTGTGTGCATAAAAACTGGCCTGAGGTAAGCAACCTCTACTAGAAGGGTTGACCCAGGAGCCAGCCCTCTTCACCCATCACAAAAGCAAATAAGCCTTGGCAAATCCCACCTGCACCCATTAATTACAGTCAGTGTCCTCAGGGCAGAAGCCCTGTGTCTAGTAGACATACCATGCCCCTGAACTGCTGCCCTCCAGAGACCCAAGAAGCCTCCAGGTGTAGTGACCATATGTCTCGATGCTCTGCCAGAGCTGAACACAAATGTCCAAGGGCTCTCGTCCCTGGTTGCTGGGATGAGCACTCACAGGAGACCTCGAGGGACCAGTAGTCCTAGAACAGACAAGCATTTGCTCCTTGGTGCCCAAGGAATTCCACATCCAGCATTCTCAGTGGCCTAGCTTTCCTTCTTCACTTGCAGGAAACCTAGGTGTGATCAAAGCACGTTGCTTCCTCGTGGAACCAGATGGAGCATCTGACGCTGATTCACAAGAACAGGCCGCACTGGGGACCTCTGGCATCTCACGGCCAAGGAGGGAATGGTGGGCATGGAGCGTGTCCCCTCTCTCGGGGCGGGTGAGAGCCCCGGCCAGCAGCGCCCAGGCAACAATGGCAGGGCTCCAGAGGTCATCAGTTGCTAAGGGGTAATAGCTTTCTTGCCACCTCAGGAGACAGGTGTTTTTAAACACTGGCCACCAAGAAGGATGACCCTGAAACCAAAGAATTTCAGACCCTCTGGTCTCTGGATCCCCAGGAGGCCAGAAGCCTTCTGCCCAAGGTCCACCCAAGACACGATTCCTTCTACCTCCTCCATGTCCACATCTGTAGGGTGGGACAGAGGTCCCTTTCCATCTTAGAGGATGAGCACTCTCCCTGTGGTACCTTCTGCACCCGCTGACCTGTGTGTCCAGTCTTGACATCGCTCCAGGGAAGAGTGTTGAAGCCCAATTCAATCGAAGTAAAGCTTCAGGGTCCCAATAACCTGGGATCCATTAGGAAGTCTTGGAGTCCCAGGCAGGACTGCAAAGGGGATTTCTAGAAGGAGCGGGGAGCACTCATGACAGTGGGTGTGCACCTGCGACATGGTGTGTCAAGCATATTGGAGTTAGCAAGCCACTTCCTGGCCTCGAAACTCAGGCTGTGTGACCTTCGCAGGAAATAGGTGCCCACCTGCAGATGGTGCCATCTGTGGCCCCCAGGGACCCTGGACTGTGAGTATGGGTGAGCCCATATGAGCAGAGTCTATCCAATAGGGCACCAGCCCCAGCTCTCAAAAGAATCCACCTCCGTGGATGGCACTGGGGTGGGAAGGGCCCTACTCTGAGCTCCCACCCAGAAGCCAGGCCTGCAGAAGTCTGCGGCTTCTGTGGCTGTGTGTGGAGGTCGGCCGTTCCAAGAGTGCTCCTCCAAGGGCTTCTCCCAGCGCAGGTTCCTGTGGAAATGCACGAGCCGGGAGCTTGCTCCTTGTCTCAAGAGCAGTCAAAAGCCTTCCCTTAGCCTCAGTTTCACTTCTGCAGTTTCAGTTATTCACATCCCAAAAAATGCTCCATGGGAAATTCTAGAAATACACGATTCCCAAGTTTTATGACTTTTATTACAGAATGTTGCCATAATTATTCTATTTTATTTTCAGTAATTGTTGTTGATCTCTGTGCTAATTTATAAATTAAACTTTGCCATAGGTGTGTATGTCTAGGAGAAGACATAGTAAATATACGTAGTATACATAAGGGTTGGGGACCTTCCAGGTGTCAGGGGATCTTGGGATGCATCTGGTGCAGACGACAGGGGACCACTATAATTAGCTGGTCTATGGTAAAGAGAAAATCTGCACAGGAAGTGTCAGTCAGAGGTCTCCTAAGAAGGAGAGGGAAAGCAGCCCTTGTGCCTTCAACCCTCAGCAGAGATGGCATGAGGACTGTGACGGGTGGCTCTGGTGGCACAGGAGTCCTGGCTGATGCAGGCCTCACGTTGGCTGCACCCCTTCTGCCTCCGCAGACCTGTCGCTGCACCGCCTGCCACCTCCCTCCCCAACACACCACCCGCTGAAGAGCTTCTAAAATACTCAGCACCTTGAATCTGTGCCTTTCATGTCATGCACCCACTAACCCTCGGGTTGGCTCGGTGGCAGTTCTCTTTATACTTACTCGGTGGGCCTGCATGTGCCACGTGCGTCCACAGAGCATCACCATGAATGCTACCTAATGCAAGCACGCTTTCACAAATGAGGTTCAGAGGCACTTTTAGGAAACAAAATTCTTTATTAAAAAAAATAACTTACAAATTAAGAGAACTCTGTTCATTTTGTGCACAGGTTTTGCAGCCTGGAACGGTCTTCTTTTGTTTTAAATGTAACTCTGCAATAGTATTAACGTCCAAACTGCCTTACGGAGCAGTTTCTGTTCCATATCCTGTGCTGGTACAACACACCACACAGAAATAAAACTATTGTAAATAAAACATTTTGGCCAAGACTGGCATATATTTTTATATATTCATATATATTTATATATATATATATAAAATTTTAAATCAGCTAACAATTAATGTCATCCTTAGTCACAACTGAAGTCAAACTAAATCTTAATACTACATCAATCTGAGTATGTCAGCATTATACCTCCCATACAATATTTAAAATATATTTAACTTTCAAATACATTTATAAAGTACGCCAATAGTGAGAAAATAAAGCCTTAAAACTTAAATACAAATCACCATATAAAAGTTTCAGGAAGCCCAGGAGGTTCTATGTACAGACGTCCAGGCAAGCCTGTCCTGAAGCTGGCTGGCACACAGCGCTGGCTACACGGCTCAGTTCTGCCTTTGCCAAAGCGTCAGAGTGCACAGCCAGGCGACAACTGCACTGGCGTGGACAGAGGAAGATGCACAATGTCACGCCTTCTCCTCTTCATGTCACTTGGGCATCAAGACCCAAAGCTCCCTTGCTCTCCTATGGAAACCATGCGGCCCAAGGCCACGTTCACAAGCTCCCTGTCCCAGGCTCTGCATGGTGGGTCATTTGGTGCTTTGCTCCAGCGCAGAGTACTCTGTGTCTGACGCTCTGGAGGCGTCGATGAGCTTGGTGAGGCCTGTTTTGGCGGAGTACTTGAAAATGAAGGCCTTCATGAGCTCGTACCTGTAGTTGCGGTTGATGAAGCTGTAGAGCACGGGGTTGACGCAGCAGTGCACCAGGGACAGGCACTGCGTGACGTGCAGCGCCGTGAAGAGCGCGTTCTCCAGCTGGCAGGTGAAGGGGAGGTAGTGCAGGATGGAGAAGATGTCCAGCAGCACCACCACGTGGTAGGGGAGCCAGCACACGAGGAAGACCACCACGTAGGAGAAGATGATCTTCCGGCTACTGTGCTTCTCCTGGTCGCCGGACGCCGAGATGGCCCTGGCAAGCAGGAAGTAGAAGACAGCGATGATGGAGAAGGGGACGGCAAAGCCCAAGACAACAGAGACCAGCTCCATGCCGATCAGCCACTCCTTGATGCTGTGCTCGGGGTAGAAGGACCGGCAGTAGGTCTCGTTGTTGGAAGCAGACGTGACGGTCTTCAGGTAGTAGGTGTCGGGCAGAGACACGCAGAAGGCCAGCAGCCACACCAGGACGCACACGATGCGGCGCACCATCTTCTTCCTGCGGCTGGAGGTGCTGGTGAAGTAGGTGATGGAGAGGTAGCGGTCGACGCTCATGCACGTGAGGAAGAAGATGCTGCCAAAGAGGTTGATAGAGAAGATGAGGTGCGTGACCTTGCAGGTGAGCTCGCCCATGGGCCACTGGTTGTGCTGCACCAGGCTGACCACCCAGACCGGGATGGTGATGACCACCCACAGGTCCGCGATGGCCAGGTTCAAGATGTAGCAGTGGGTGTCGTAGCCTGTGGTCTTGGCCTGGATGTTCACCCAGACCACCACAGAGTTGGCAATCATGCCTGTCACGAAGATGAAAATGTAAATAAAGGAGAGCGTGTAGAGCAGGATGCTTTTGTGGGGCATGGCGGGGCACTGCACCGTATCGACCAGGATGCAGTCGCTGCTGTTGCATGGCCAGCTGATGTCAGAGAAGTTCCCTGGCTCCGTGTAGTCAAAGAGATGCAGATCCATGGTGGGGGGAGTGAGAGGGACCTACAGCAAGCCGGAGAGATGGGAGGGAGAAATCACTCATCAGAGAATCTCACTTCCAGTCCCAACACTGCTCCAGGGTCCTGATAAGGCCCAGCAGTTCTGCTCAAGTTCTGAGGTATCCCACAAAGAAAGGAGAAAAGAAAACAACCGCACGAGAACTGTGTCACATAAACAAACACCCAGAGTCTCGTCCACACGGTGCCCAAAGACGGACACAGTGTTTGTTTTCTATCTTTTCACAGCTGTGTTCTCAAGACACCATCAGCCTGGCTGTGCCCAGGGTGTGAAATCAACACGGTTCAGGGCCAAAGAAACGTCAGGCTGCTGAGCCTGGCCACTGCAGTGCTGGAGGCCTACTCCTTCTCAGCGGGAGACGGCGGAGCTATTTTATCTAGGTCTCCCAAGAATGGCAGGGTGGGTCTGCCCCTGCCATGTTGAATTGCAAGCGTCCCGCTTTGGTGTCTGGGTGAAAGCATTTCAAATCCTCAACCCAATTTGCCTTTAAAACATGACTTAGCGCTTATTACCTTTTTGCAAAATTCATATGCAAACCTAGATCTTGGGCCCCTTTGCTTCAGCCATGAGGCCACTTGGAGCTTGGCCAGCATGTGTGCAATGCCCACAGCCCAAATGCACCCCAAAACCACAGGCTCAGGGCTGGCCATGCCATGTCAGCTGAGGGCAACCAACCAGCTGCCTCAGGCCCTGGCCTTGGCGTAGTTTCCCTTTATTTGTTCAACTGCTTCAGGAGCAATGTGTGCCAAGACCCGAGGCACAGAGGCCACCACCTGCTGCCTTTCTGCAGAGCCGACGATCTGCCAGCTTCTCCTGCTAACCCGACCTGAGGCCCGCAAGCTCCACGGTCAGCACTTCTCAGCCAGTGAGGGCTCGGCCACAGGTAGCCCCGGTTCCGGGGTGACGCTCCACAGATACCGTGATAGTGGCCAGGAGCTGTCTTTGAGTGACCTTCTGTCCCTTGACAGCCCTGAAGTCAAGGCTGTGGTCCTAGGTGGGTGGGGAGTATAAGCCAGGGACACCAGCCCTGACTCGTCCCTTCTAGGTAGGTGGCAGTTCTGTTACCTGCCACAGGGGCTGACTGGCCAAGAGTCAGGCTCACAAAGTGACCCTGGGTTACCCATAGCAACTCCTAGAAGAGGGTCAGTGCGTGTCGGGTGGCCTTGCCAACTGTCTGAGAACCAGAGCAGGGACATTCCGGGTGGGAATTCTGGCTCCTCCACCCAGCAGTGTCCAACTTAAAACTCGTGGTTACCCTGCCTGTGTCTGCTGCCCTAGGACAGCAGCACCCACCTCAGCGTTTCCTTAGGGACAAAGGGCCTAACCCGGAATCTCTAGGTAGCAGATGCTCAATGACCCGCCACCTGCCACTGGCCCAGGGGAAGCCATCAGCTTCTGCCCTTTAGCAGAAAGGCGAAACCTCGCCCGGCTCTTCTCCACTGGGAAACTGGTTCTCACTGGCTGCCTAACAACCCCCCCCACCAGAGGGTCCAGGAGCCGGCAGAGAACACGCACCTAGATTAGGCGCTCCTCAGGAAAGCGTGGACAGTTCCTGAAGGATGGAGGACACCTGCTGCCTGCCAGAAGCCCCTCCACAGCCTCCAAACTCAGCAGGCAGCCCACTCCTGAATGCCACCCAGGGAGACTGGCAGGCCCCGCGGCTCCCGTGTGGGTGCAGGGGACGTAGGTGGTTGTGCGCTCCCCACCTGGCCTCCCAACCCAGCCTCTGTGTCCTCTGTGCTGTTGGAAGGTCTGGGCATTCTGTGGCAGCCACTTCCCCTCTGCTCCACCATGGAGTGGGTCACTGGCCCTGCAGCCAGGAAGGACCCCACAGCCCAGTGACCCCCAGGCACAGGAGGGCACCCACAGAGGGCAAGATGGAGTCAGGACAGACAAACCCAAACAAGGAGACGTTGTCTTGTCCTAAGACACAGCTTCAAGGACTCCAAAAGGACGCTGACCCAATGGGGCTGCAGAGGTGCTGCCAGAAGTCGGGCCCTGGCCTCCCAGACTGGCCTCAGAGCATCCAGCCAGCCCCAGACTCCTCGAAGCTACTCCTGCCACCTTCCATTGGCCACCAAGTGTCCTGGGCTGCCCTCACCCTGCCAGCCTGCACCTGTGACTCCAGATGGACGCTACCTCTGCTCTTCCTCGTGGCTCCAGGCAGAGCGCCCACCCTGGGCAGCGCCCTGCCCCTCCTTCCCATGTCCTTACAACGGAGCATCTGCAGCACAGCTGAGTTTAAGGCATTTTCTCCCCCGAATCTCATCAGTCCTCATCGCACTGGAAGCAGAGGAGCCCCACCGCCATCCGGACCTGAGAGCGCTCTGCTGGAGTGGCTTCAGCCCGTTCTCTGTCCCCACTGGCACAGCCCAGGGCCTTGGCAGGGACAGCCTTAAATCCCAGAGCCCAAAGAAAGGAAGGACCCTGAGCCCTTCACAGCCTGCCCTTGGGTCTGACCCCACTCTCACACCTGGATGCTTCTCTGGCCTTGCCTCCCTTGCCCTCCAGAGCACCCACACTGGGCCCTGGTACAGTCCAGGGAGAACGGCCCCAGGCAGGGGCCCAGACGAGAGGAGCCTCCTCCTGGGGCTGAGCAGTGTCCGTCTAGGCCCCTTCAGTCTCCCCCAAATCATCTCCAACTCACCCCCTGCACCTGGCAGCTGCCAACCCCGTATCCTCCAGGCCAGAGCAGAGGCGGGCACTGGGAAGGCTCGGGGCTCTGATCCAGCCTTTGGCTCCTGCCTCTGCCCTCCGGCCTGGAGTTTCCTGGGACAGGCATGCCACCCTCCAGCCACACCCTCTCCCCCCTCAGGGGTGGGGCGGCACCACGTGGGAGAAGTGGGGTGGCATGAGAGACGGCTGCCGTCCAAGGTGGAGCAAGGAGCAGACAGGGAGGCTCCCACTGGCCCTGAGCACAGGTGACCAGCCACCAGTCACTGGGCACCAACTGGCCTGAGGAGCAGCAACACGCACCCAACTGCCATAGGAGCCGGAGGCCCACACCCTGGCCACCCCCTTCTCCCACCGCAGAAGGCTCCAGCCCAGGAGAAGGCGACCAAGTAGCGTGGCGGGATCAGACGCTCCACAGGTTCAGGTGGGAACTATCGACAACAAAGAGTCAAAAACCAAACCTCACGACAGTCCCTTCTCCAGAACAGGACCTGCTGCATCATGGGGACCACTGTGGGCACCTGGGGTGGGGGGACACTCTGTCCAGTGCCGCTCCCGGTCAGTCTGTCCACCCCTGGAGCAGAGAGCTGCCTGCCTAGGGCGGCCTCAGCAGGGCCACTCTCAGTCCTCGCCAGGAACAGAAGATGGAAGGCAAAGGAGCCTCAGCCAGGCCCTGCTTTCCCACAGCCTGGGACAAAGCTCCAGGGGACCAGAGCACGGAGGCAGGAGGGAGAGGGGCTGCAACTCCTGGAGTGCCCTGCACAAAGCCAAGGGTCTGCCTGGTCCTAGGGAAAGAGCCACTGCAGGCCACCCAGATCCACGGGCCACTGCACTCCTCGCACGCAGACCTCACGGAGCCATGGGTCCATTTATGCTGGCAGCAGGGTCCACTGACAACCAGGAGGCCCGAAGGAGACCCCACCCCACTCAGACGAGGCACTGGCCTGCTGCTGACCAACCACAGCTCATTCCTGCCAGCTCGAGGCCAGAGAGCAAGAGAAATTTTGGATATAAATCTGTGTGTTGCCTCTGTCTGGGCTCTGTGCCCGCGCCTGTGAAGGAGGCGCGAGACCCACCTCACGGGCTTCGGCTATACAGCATCTGCACAGAGGTTCCAGAAGAGACGAAGGGCTCAGAGTAAAGGATGTTTCCCATTCTAGGATTTTATAATTTTATATGTGAACCATATTTCTTATCTTGAAATACATTTCCCCAAATGTGCATACAAAATGTTTATTGAAGCAGTAATTTTTTTACTAGCAAAAATTGCAGACCACATAAATCTCTATCAACAGAGGAACCGTTCAATAAACTATGGCATAGTCTCTGGAATATAATACAGCTATAAAAAGGGAGGGACAGTGTTTCTCATGAGCAGGGAGAGTTACAACATGCTGTTAGTGAAAGGCAAAGTGTAAACATTATCCCTTTGATGTAGGAGAAAAAGCAAAACTCAAGTGTATTTTCAAATGCAAATGCCATCAAGGGCACAGGAGTCTTCAGTAAGTGCGACCCTGGCAGGAAGGTAGAAAAAGGGGACAAAGGAAGACTGTAGTTTTTACTCTATAAACATCTGTGTTATTTGAAATTTGACATAGAAAATTACGTAAATTTAAACAGAGGGAGGAATGACCCATAGAACCATTAAGGCTCGTGTTCTATTTTTGTAGACCCCAGAGAACCCACTGAGAATAGAAAGCCATAAACACAGTTTGCCTTCCTAACTTCTGAGCTTCTCTCCTGCCCAGTGCCGTCCACAGGGTCACTGCTGGGAAGACCCTGCCCACCACCTGCACTCACCCGGCATCCACGTCCACCATGACAGGAGGGGGCCAGCGCTGGACATGGCATCCCCTGCCCCTCCTCACTGGCCCTGGGCCTGGAAAGGGACTATCCACCCACCACTCCCAGTCCCAAGTGGTGCGGGAGGTCCTCCGTGTTGGGAGGAGGACGCTCCTGGGAGACTCACCTCTGGTTTCCGAGGTTTGTTATCATGACCGCACATCCCTGGCGCCGCCCCAGCCATGGCGGGCAGCCTGAGGGATTTAGCTGCATCCACAGGGTTCGCCTGAGCTCACCCCAGCACTCTGGGCAAGGCCAGAATTAGAAGTCTCCAAGTTCAGAGTCCCGCGGGGTGGCGGTTTGCTCTGAGGCCCGCGTGTCCTCACCCTGGTTAGTTCCTTCAAGAGCCTGCCAAGTGTTCAGGTGTCTGGCTAATGTTCCCCAGGATGCCTTCAACAGCTCACCCTGGCCCTCGCAGCCTGGGGGGATCCCCCGAGGCCACGCCCTGGCCGCTGCTCCTCCACCTTCTCCCCACTGGACCCCGCAGGAGTCCATGCCCCACCCCACCGCGTTCCTGCTCAAGCCTGGTGCCTCCCACCGTGTCTCCTTTGTCATCCTATGGCCACACAAGCAAAGTGGATCAGTGGTCATCATGCCCCCGAGGCTGGTGACCTCAGCCGGCACTGGGTCTAGGTTTCCCGAAGGCCTCTTCTGAATCCTCGCCTCGCTGAGGTCTGCAGGCCTCTGCAGGGCACTGCTCTGGGGCAGGTGAAGGTGAGGAACTGGGATCATCCCCCCCTGTCCCCGCCATGCTCTGCCAAGAGCTGAGGAGGTCAGGAAGGTGCAAAACCAGCACTGTACCCCCAGGCCCAAGCAAGGTGGCAGGTACCTCCTGTAGCAGGGGAGGTGCTCCCACTCTAGTGACCCATGGGGGGCTTCCAGAGTGGCAGCCCAGGGGGCCCCAGGCAGGTTCTGAACTTTAGGGGAGTCGCCCAGCCTGGCTGAGGCAGACTCTCCATAAAGGAGAGAAGGAGGTGAGAGTGGTCTTTGAGGGTGGGCAGGAGGTCAGGCTGGCCTGACTCTTCAGTAGCCACAAGAAGGTCTTGAGCAAGGCCACAGCTTGGGGCAGAAGCAGCTTAGAGGATGAAGGTGACACTCATACCCAGGCCTGGCAGGGGCACCCTGGTGGCTGGGTGCAGAGCAGCCACTGCACGCACCTGGGAGGAGGGCCCTTCAGCTCTGCAGGAGGCAGATCAGATAAGGTGGAGCCTGTCTGGACCTGAGCCTCCAGGTCGCCTCTGTAGCATCTGTCTGTGACTCATGACCTGTGCCCTGCAAGGGCACTTCCTGGAGGAATTCATTGTTGTACTAACGTAAGAGCTGACCATGGCCTTCAGTCCCTGTCACCGCCATGTGTGCACCTGGAAACTGAGGGCAAGGCGGGCACAGACACCCAGGGACTGGGATCAGATCTCTCTGCACGGCCGACTGGCGCTGTTGTGTTTAACTGTTTAACTGGTTAAATCTAGGGGACACTGGACACTGACCGCCAACCTGCAGGCCTCCTACCCGCAGGCCTCTGCCCTGCAGCCTCTGTGGCTGGGCCTGAGGGCAGGCAGCAGGGGAAGCGGTCTGCACTAGGGCCACTCCATGGAAGACAGTGTGGTCCTATGACACCTTCATCACGACCCCAAGTGACCTTATTTTATGCAAGTAGGGAACTGCTTTGATTTATTTGTGAACTCAAAACGTAGTAAATATGAGGAAAGGAAGAACACTGAATGCAGAGGGAAGACTCCACGCCCATCCTGACACAGGCCGCCTGTTCACCGGGTGCTCGGCAAACTCACATCAACACGTGGGACGCCCGACCCACTGTAAGTAACCGGGGGATAAAATGAATGCCACATCCAGAAATCCGATCTGCTCTATTGTGCTCAGCTGCCCAGGGAGCAAAGCTGTGCCCAGCAGAGCAGATCCGAGGCTCCGGTGACAAAGGCAGCCGTCTGGGCTGGCCGAGTGTGATCAGAGATCTCCTTCCCACCCAGCTTAGGACCAAGTGGGAGGTCAGCCAGGCTAGGAGGGCTCTCAGGAGACACAAGGAGCTTCCCTGGGCGAAGCTGGGAAATCTCAGGCTCTTCCTGTAACACCGAAGGAAGACGTCCTCAAAGGCCTCCGTGACACAGGAAGCCATCTGCCTGACATAGCCCTGGAAACGCAGTCCACCCTGCCCATGCCTTATCTGTCCCCCCGCCAGCAGTGGCTCAAGGCCACCTGCGATAGCCACAGCCCCTCCACCCTCTAAGATCCTGGGACAAAATAAGGTCTGCTTCCAAACCCACTTGAAGTTCCACAAAACTGTCACCGTGAAGTTATGCCATCCCCGTCACTTTATAACAAAGCAATAATGGTTGTTTTGTTCTTGTCTTTGGGTGGGGGTTGGGGTGGAGGGTTTGTAATTCCAAACTAGTAGATTCTCTGTAAGGACCTTCATCAGATGGAGCATGCCCAGCAGAAAGCCCTCGAGTACTAAAATCAGGGACACCCTCTAAGGCACATCCTGGTCTCTCTCTTGCTCTTTTCTTTGCTTTCCTTATAATAGAGAATATATGTCCTGGAGCTCGCCGTGTGTGTGTGTCTGTGTGTGTGTGTGTGTGTGTGTGTGTGGACATTAAAAAACACTAGACCTGACAGAGTTTTGGTTTCATTCTATTATACCTGCATGCACGTGATCCAGCCGCACAGCATTTTAATACTATTCTGGTTGCTAGGAGTAAGCTAAGCCCCTTAGTTGCCTGGTTTAAAAGTGCAAATGCCTTCAGGCCCCAAATTCCATTCATGTTCCACAAAATCACTGAGAAAAAACCTAAAGATCTGCAATCTTTGAAGCCCTCTGCTCTCTCCTCTTACGGTTTATAAAGTGACTGCCCTCTAGCCCCAGGTCGGAGTGACTCCAACCACTTCCCTCCTGTTGACGTGAAAACAGGAGCGCTCTGCCCAAAACCATCACACAAAAAGCCACTGTTCTGATGAAGTAGGGTGTTCTGGGCAGGGTGGTTTTTTGTTTTTTTTTCCCCCTTTCTTTCTTTCATCCAGAAAGCCTATACTTGGCCTGTTCTGGGCCTGATTAGAAATCATAATACTTTCTCGACTCTCCAAGGACTTGCTGTTAAATGCTTGCTGTTAAATGGGGCAAACTCACCTCCAAAGTCCTCACCTAGTTAAGCAGAAGCTGCTGCCTTGGAATTTTCTGGAGCTTTTTAAAAATTACAGCTGCAATGCATGCTCTTAAAAAAAAAAAAAAGACTAGCAGCAACACATGGCCGTTCCTCAATTTCCCTGGCTTTTGCATCCCCTCCCCCACCAGGGCTCCTGGAGGCTATGCTGAAGCTCAGCAGTTGTACGCAGATTCAAGTGTTTATGGCAGAGACAGGGAAAAAAGAGCAAATTGTTTCCAAGCTAGAGCTCCCATGTGCAGCTCCGCCCTAGAGAGAGCCTATGCATCTGGGCTAAGCTCCTGTTCTGAAGGGAGGAAGACCAGCAGC